GGGTTTAGGGTTTAGGGTTCAAAAGCCCTTCGATAGAACTCGTAAACCTTTACTGCCCTAAACCCTGAACCCTAAACCGCCAAACCCTAAACCCTAAACCCTAAACCCTGAACCCTAAACCGCCAAACCCTACACCCCCAAACCCTATAAGATGCCCTTTAAAGCCGGCGAGTGGGCTCAGGAGTACATCTCCTCCATGCAGCGCTACTACTACCAGCGCAGCTCATGAGGGCTGAGGGGCAGACAAGATTAGGGGTTTAGGGTTTAGGGTTTAGGGTTTGGGGTTTAGGGTTTGGGGTTTAGGGTTTAGGGTTTGTGTTTGGGGCCTCCAGGTACCTACTATATAGGGTGCTAGAGACCCTAGGGCCCTATATAGTAGGTACCTGGAGGGTTAGGGATAGTTGGAGAGCACAAGGCCTCAGGGGCTTTAGGGTTTATGGTGTGTAGGTTTTTGAAATTTGGAATCTTGGCGCTCAAAGTGTGAAGCGACAGATTCCCCCTGTTTGTGATCTTCCCGAGCCGTGGCGGAACACTCCAGTCTGCAACTTCGCCCAGTCCGAAATCGTTGACTCCAGACCACAAGCGTCGAGGCTGGCGAAGCCCTCATTGCGCATGTCCTAACTTGTGACGATGCTTTATGCCCTAGGGCGGCATCGTTTTTGGTATCCATTCGGTTCATAGTGTAACTGTAGAACAGCCTCTACATCGTAGCTTTGCCAGTCGATAGACTCTCGGCTTGTATTTCACAGACACGCAGATGGAAAATGGCAGAGCACCGCAGACCAGAAATCCCGAAGGCCATGAACCCCTACTCCCTAATCGTTCGTCGCAGAACTGATCCGGACAGAGTGGATGGCTAGAGGACATCAAGGGACCATCATCCGAGACCTTTGATCCTTATAAGACCCCTCATAGAAGAACTAGGTGGCACTTTAGGAAACTTTAGAATTTCACAAAAGGTGTCTAGAGAAGTAACTATATTCATACATACTTTTCAGGGCCCCAAAACTACAACCCAGAAAAGGAGAGCTACTCCAGACGAAGCTGCCATCATAAGGTGCTCTGGCGGCGATCGCAGGTCTCATTCTCTGCTTCGCCGGAAGGTGCACCCCCGAGTCAAATTTCGTGGCCGACAAGCTTTTAGGGTTTAGGGTTTTAAGGAGTCGTGAAACACGGGGCTGAACGCTAAACAGATGGGTTCCGTGGGGTTCGGGTAGTTGTACCCTCGACCCAAACTGCCTTAACTTTGCAACCCGAAATGCCGGCGCTGAAGGCATGTACAAATCTGAAGCCTTGAACATTTAGCCGGGATTTCTGAAGTCGGAAATTGATGAACGATTAGTTCGTAAGACTCAGACTCTAACTTGACTAAAACCCTGAATCCTAAACATCATCTTTGAATTGTTTCAAGGGGGTTTCTGATTAAGTGAAGCTTAGGGAATGGAGGCTTGCTTCTGGGGTAGGCTGGGGTGGGTCCCATTAAAGCCAAAAGTCTCTGTGACGCCTGTCCTCATAAAGTCCGTGTCGTTTGGGTATTCATCTCTGGAGACTTTAGGGTTTATTTATATTGGGCTTACAGGGCTCAACATAGTTCAGGATTTGGGGATTATAGGGCTCCACAGAGTTCGGGATTTAGGGCTTGTCGGCCTTTTCGGGCTCAGGGTTTAGGGTCTAGGTCTTGCTTGTGGACTTGCTGGTGGCATAGCGCGCGCGGCAGCCTCTTGTCAAACTTGTGCGTTCATGGCAGTCCCTGCCGGGCTCAAACGCCCGAGCCCCATGCCCTAAGTTAGGGGTTCGACAAAGGAAGCAAGGATGTCTCTACCTATTAGGCTTCATGAAAAGCCGATGTATATGGCAATCCCCATCCTAGTTTTTGCTTCTGTGCTTGTTTGGCTGATCGTCCAGGCATTTTCCCTACTCCGCCTTCTTCTGGCGGGTCGCCAGCCTCAGACGGCTTTTGGGTATAGAGTTGAGGGTTTGGGATTCTGTTTTTAAACTGTGCGGTTCGGGTGTTTTTTTTGTAGTTGAGGTTTTGCATTTAAGGCTTTTTTTTGTACGCGGGCTTAGGGTTCAGGATTTGGTTTGCCGTTTCTTGTTCTCTCTCCCTTTTCGACTACGGAGGAGGACATCCCAAAGCACCAAACAGAGGGCTCTCCAAACTCGGGAGCAAAGAAGAAAGACCGTGGTCATCACAGCGTTCACTTCATA